GGATAAGCAGGATGGATACTAGGATAACAGAATAAAAAATAAACATAGGATAAAACAATAAAAAACGAATCTAGAAGGATTTTTATCATCCAGATAGACACGAAGGATGCCAGGATAAGAGAAGAGGAGGATAAAGAAGATGGATGCTGACCAAGAGGATAAGCAAGACATTTATGAAGCTAATGTAAAAGAACATTGAAAGAAAACAACTTTGGGATAGAACTGATCATCAGGATAAGCACAGCGATTGGGATGATAATGTATGTAAAGAGAAAGAGAAAGAAATCATCCGTGAGAGGGATAGACACCAATCAATGGAAATTAAAGGAATTAAATGAAAATAAGGACTGATAAATGGATAATTAGATTCTCGATTTCTTTTTTATATATAAGAAAAAATATAAGAATCTCGAAGGATAGACAAAGTCGCTGTGTGCAAGCAAGTTTTTAAACTTGTTAGAAAAGACTTGTTAAGCTTAGTACAAATAGATATTCATTACAGTAGCCCTGTCCATAGAAAAACAACAATATTGTTCTACATATAAGGATATATGACAGTTGCTTTTTCAGTGTACTTGGGTCCATGCGTGTACAACTACCAAAAAATGAATAAAGTAAGTAAATAAAGTGTGATCCTGTGAATTAGGCCACTTTCACGCCGAGGTGGCACGTGGCACGACATTGGAAAACGAACTTCTGGAAATATATGAAACCTTTTACTCAGAAGTGGCGTGGCACGTCGCATGTGCCACGTGCGATCTGCGTGCGACGAAACGAAACTTCTGTGTGAAAAGTTTCATATATTTCTGGATATTTCTTTTTCAAATGACGTGCGATGTGCGACGTGTCATTTTGCTGTGAAAGCGTCTTTATGTGTAGTTTAAGTATATTCAAATCGACTTTTATTGGTGATTAGGATAAAAATAAAGAAACGAAAATGATGGTAATGATTTCCATAAACACTCGTGAAAGCATCAAAGAACTAGTTATACGTCTAGTAATCTCGTCACTATTTTTACATTCATTTCCTGTTGCCTATAATGTCCATGTTTCTCTCTCACAGCAGTCATTTCTGTGACCATTATGATAATTACGTTGATGCTAAAATGATAGCGTTTACCTTAGATATTTGTATGGCAATAGATTTTCCTTTTTGTAGTTCAGTTTTCTCTATTTTTTTTTTTGTTTTGTTTTGTTTTATTACTCCTTAAAAGCATTGTTTTATTCTCCATTTTTTATTTATTTATCTATTTTTTGTATACATTGTTTTATTTCAGCCTCTGTATTTTTTCGCTTGTTCTAAAAACGTATTTTATATATTCGTCATTTTTAGTTTCGTAATTTTTTTTTTAAGGCTAGCGCAGTGTATCATTCAAATTTTATTTTCACGTGTTTTTCTGTTGTGAAATTGTCTATCGTTTAATTTACGCGTTTCTGTTTCCCTGATTTTTTTTTTTTTTTTTTTTTTTTTTTTTTTTAACACGACAGTATCAAGGTTATTGTATTTTTTGTTCTTTATTATTCCCTTGTATTCCCGTTTTTATCATCTTTTATTTACTTTTATTCCCATTTGTATTCCTGCTTTTACTCTTGTTTTATTCTCTTATTCCCACTTTTATTCCAGCTTTAATTCCATTCTATTCCATTTTATTCCTGTTGTTATTCCTTTTATTACTGCTTCTGTTACCGTTTATTCTCTTTTATTCCTTTTTATTCCCGCTTTAATTCCCTTTTCCTTCCTTCTATTCCCGCTTTTATTATCGTTTATTTCCTTTCATCCCCGCTTTTATTCCGAAAGCGAGTGCATTAACTCGAACGCCTTTTTTATTTTCGTTCTTATTTTTCAATGAATAAAATGTATTATTAATTTTTCATTCATTCTCCCCCCCCCCCCCCCCCCCCCGACTCCCCTCGCCCCTTTTAAAACGAGTATATTCTCTCATTTCCATTGATTTTGTTTGATCTAAATTAAAATTATCAAAAAAATATTATGCCCATTCCGACTTCATTCCCTATGATTATTATTATTATTAATATTTATGTCCTATTCACGTTGATTTTCACTTTGAGTCACATTATGTAAATTAGCGTATATAGATAATTAAGAAAGTAGATATTTTTCTGATTACAATGTGTGTAACCTCTTTTTTATCATAAATGAATAGGTGAATGATTAAGTGAATTGTGTGGATAAATCGATTAACAAATATACAGATAAATGAATAAATGAATAAATTAGACAAAAATGGACAAATTGATAATTATCTTTCTCTGTGTAACTTTCTTCTTTATTAATAAATTAGACAAAAAAATGGACAAATTGATAATTATCTTTCTCTGTGTCACTTTCTTCTTTATTCTCTGTTTTTCTTCTTCTTATAACAAACCTAGAGTTGAATTCGGACCTCGCTTCTGTCGCCATAAATTTCAAAGAATAACTGTTCACTTCAGTACTTTGTGATTTTGAGGGATTTCATGCTCGTCTAGGTTTACAATAAGGTGTATATAATCTTTTTTTCTCTGCCATTTACTTTAATATGGCATATCGTGTCACTCTAACGCGCGCTCACACACACACACACACACACACACACACACACACACACACACACACACACACACACACACACACACACACACACACACACACACACACACACACACACACACACACATATAACCCCACACACAGTCACAAACATACATACATACAGTATTTCAATATCCGATATTGTACTGTCTCCCAGACATATCCTTTTTATGAATTTAACTGTATGAATAAGTCCAGATATTTTTTTTTATCATATATCTGATATTTCAATGTCAAGCACAAACATGTACAATACTGATATATATGAGTGATTTTTTTTCTTCATTTTTAGTGTAGTGAATTCCATACCATACTTCAGCTATTGCACAATTTAGATGTGTGTACTGCATAATGTACAATGTTACAATATTAAATATAACAAATATATATATGTGTTTTTCTAAAGCCCCTACAACATAGTTTCACTGTTGAAGAAAGATAGAATTGAAAGAACCCCGGTATCATTGATCATTATTTATCAATAAGATGATGAATGAATTGCACTCTAACCACAAAACAAGGAACTGAAATAAGAAGTATTCATGGGGGATACGATGAAAACACGTCGAAAACACGTTGAAAACACGATGAAAACAACATTCAAGGCGGCAGCAAGAGACGGATCAAGCATCTAAAATCCTTCCACATCTCAGATCGGAACAATGTATCTGTTGGGTGGCCATTGACCTCTTCTCGATCGATATCTGAAGATGACCTCTTCTCGCTCACGCCGCTCGGATTTCTAAGCCTAGTCCTTTAGAATTCCTCGTGTGAGTCCCTTCTTCTCTTTCCTTTATTGCGGCTTCTTCTCGGATTTCTGCTCCTCTCCTTGCTTCCGTTCTCTCTCTTCTTTCGCTGTATCTGTTGCTCCTCCTCGTGTTTCTTTCCTCCTTTTTTTTGTTTCATCGCGTATTGTTCTTCTGATTCTCGACATCTCCTCATGAGTGCTTGGAATTCACACGTGCGGATGAGGTTTCAGGAATTCCAGTAGGCCCTTCAGCCTCAAGGAAGTATACAGCCTCGTCGAGAAGCAGCGGGTCAAGTATTGTACAGCTGGTAAGGATGCGCGCCCGAGGCCTGCGACTATGGCAAATTCGGTGGAGAAAGATAGAGGGAGAGAGAGAGGAGGATAAGGAGATAGGGCAAGATAAAAGCAAGATGACGAACTAGTAGGCGGACACACAAAGGAAGGGAGAATGATTAGAAATGCCTACCCGTGCTTCTACAAAGGGCGGTCATTGTCTTTGTCATCGAGAGGCGGATGTAGGTGTCGGAGTCTCGAGCCCGGCGGCGCGCGGGTCGAGAGCGCCGGGGGTCCCAGTGCGTCCGCGACTGTCATGGAAGACAACAGCCCCGGTGGCTACTTTGGGGACGTGAACCAGCGTGTGGATCGCAGGTGAACGTTTTTAGGTGGTTCTCCTTGAAGGCATCGTGCCCCGACGTGGTTTCAAGTGCAGCCAGTCAAGGAGAGGCTTCGTGGCGTCCGCGGAGATGAGGACCTTCAGTCGTCTTCCGGAAAAAGCTGTGTGAGCGCCTGTGACTTGAGCGCATATGACTACTTCGACATCGGTGCATCCCTGGCGCGCGGGGCGACACAGTGACGACCATGTTCCCGCACGGCTCCGCGACCCTCGCCGACCTGCCTGTGATTCCGATCGACCTGGAAAGCTTCGCGGCGCGCACGTACCCGACGCCCTTCGTGCACGTCATCCGCTGGACCAAGATCTGGGGCTGCATGCCCGTGTCCTACAACTACGCCACTCGCCGCTATAAGCTGAGCCCCTTCCTCACCTTCTGGATCATCTGCTCCGTCGGGTTCAACATCCCCTGCTTCTACGACTGCATGCTGGCCTACATCTCCGGCGGCGAGGGCCTCACGCTCTACGTCATGATCCTCATCGTCTTCGTCATGAGCATCTCGGCCGTGTCCGTGCACGTGCTCTCCGTCGTCATGTACGAGGAGTGGGCCGACTTCCTCAATGACTGGATGCTGTTCGAGCGCAAGTTCCCGACGCTGACGGGCGGCGTCCACTCCTTCAGCCTCGCCGTCCCGCTCTTCAACAGCATCTTCATCTGCGTCGCCTTCTTCGTGGTGAACATCCTCAACGAGCTGCGGTTCAACCTGATCAACGAGGACGGCGTGGGGCGCATGCTGTCCCTCGTCTACGTCTACGTCATCTACAGCTACACCCTCTCCATGCCCGTGCTGTGGGTGGTCATGGCGTCCAAGGTGTTCACGCTCTGCTTCGGCCACATCCGCCACGAGCTCGAGTCGATCCTGGAGTGCGAGAAATTCGGCGAGAGGTGCGCTCGCTCGCCCATCCAGAAGTGCATCGCCAGCGGGGACATCAACCGCCTGCAGGAGGCCGTCCTGGACCTCCGCCGCATCATCCAGAAGTTCAAGGTGATCATGGGGCCCTTCATGCTGGTGATGGTCCCGCACCACATCATCTCCCTCATCTGCTTCCTCTACTGGACGCTCGTCTCCACCCTGGACTACAGCGACTGGTATTTCCCCGTGAGCTTCGGCCTGCTCTCCCTGCAGGCCATCGCGCCCATCTTCTGCGGCGCCATCTACAGCGAGGACATCCACACGCAGGTGAGGGGAGGGGCGCCAGGCCCTTCTTGTTATGGTATTGGTATTTCTGTATTATTACCATTCATGTCATCAGTCATCAGCTTTACCATAACCAGACATGACTATTGCTCCGTTTATGATGGTAATGATATTGATAATAATGATAATGATAGTTGTAATGATAATGATAATAATAACAAATGATAATAAAATAATGATAATAATAACAATTAATGATAATAATGATATAGTAATGGTGATTATGAGGATAATAATAACAAAAACAATGATAATAGTAATGATAACACTGAAAATAACAATGATTAAATTATAACAATGATAACGAGGATGATAATAATGATAATGAAAATAATGTAATGATACAGAATGATAATTATGATAATATTGATTATGATAATAGTAATGACAATACTAATAATAACAATGATGATAATGAAATAATGCTAATATAATGATAATATTGATAATAATAATGACTGCAATAATGTGATAGGAATAATGATGATTCTAATGATGATAATAATTCGTTAAATAATGACAATAAGAAAATAAGGATTATGATTATTACTACTATGATTCTGATGATAACAGAGTCAATATCAATGATATTGACTGATAATTATGACAATAATAATGATAGTTTAATCAATGATAATGATAACCCTAATACTAGCACAAACACTAATGGTAATGTTAATGATAATGAGGATAATGATAATGGTGATATGATGATATGATGATTAGAATAATGACAATAACACTAATCACGATAACAACAATCATGTAATATTGATAATAACAATTATAGCAAAATAACAACAAGAACAATAATGATTAAAAGATGATGACGACAATGAAAAATAATGGTATATAAATGATGATAATGATGATAATGATAAAAGTGGTAATAACGATGATAATAGTAATAAGATAAGGATGATTATAACAATAACGATGATTATATGATGAGAATAATAAATAATGATAATGCTAATAGTAGTAGTGGTAGATCGAAGTAATAATGATGACATTCATAAGAAAGGATAATGATTATAATAACAATAACAAAGACGATAACAATGATAATGATAAAGAAACATAATTGATAATAATAGTAATAGTGATAATAATGATAAAGATAATCATCATTATTATTGTTATTTTTATTACTGATGTTATCATTATCATTACTATTAGCATTATTATTATTATCACTATTATTATTATCAGTAGCATTATTACCATTATTACTATTACTACTGTTAACGTTAATGCAATTACCATTATCATTGTTGCTGTTACCATTAATGATACCACTACTACTATTATCAACATGGTAATAATTATGATTACCATTATCATTGTTATTATGCTCTTATTATTCCGTCTTTAATAATGATAACAATAATAATGATAATAACAATAATGGTGATAGTGATAATAATGATAGTAATAATTATAATGATGATAGTGATAATAATAATGATAATAATCATTATCATTGTTGTTATTATTATCATTATCATCTCAATTATTCGTCATACTTATTTTTATCATTATTGCTATTATCATTATCATTAGTATTGTTATCATTAACATTATTACTATTATCATTATTATCGTCTGTTATTATAATTATTGTTATAATAATAATAATAATAACAATTATTGTTATTATCATTGTTATTATTATCGTTTTTATCATCATTCTCATTATCGTTAATATTATTATCATAATTGAGATTGTTATAATTATCATTATAATTAGTATTATTACTGCTATAATCAACATTATCAATATCATTATCATCTATTATCATAATTATTGTTATAATAATGATAATAATTATTGTTATTATTGTTATAATCGTTTTTTTATGAAATGTTATTGACGCTATCATTATCATTATCATTGTTGTTGTTATTATCATCATGATTATGATTATTATTATTATTATCACGATAATGATAATGATGATGATTATTATCATCATGATTATTATTATTATTACTATTATTATTATTATTATCATTATTATTATTATCATTATCATTATCATCGTTATTATTGTTATTATCATTAATTATTATCTTTATCGTCTACATCATAATTGCTTTTAGTATAATCATTATTATTGTTATTTTCATTATTATCATCATCATCATTATCATCATAGTCCTAATCATAACTGTAACTATTAAAATCATTATTATCATCATTTTTATTCTGATCATCACCATATTATTATTATTATCAATATAATTATTGTCATTATCATTATGATTATCCTTAGTATTATCGTTATTATTA